TATTGCTAAGGCTGGGGTCACACTGGACCTGGCACAGGAGTCATGGTTCTTTGCTGATAGTCCTGAACAGATTTTTCCTCTCGTGCAATCTTTTAGTTTAAATAGCACAGAGCTGATGCAGGCCGATATCTCCGACGTCTCCTTGCGCGATGATGAGGGCACGAAGTTACCGCCAGAGCACAGGAACGCGCTCAACGCATTTCTGCGTAGCAGAGCGAGAGGGATGGTTTGTAGTATAGATTTTGTAGTAGTTAAAAGCGATGTGAGACTTAGATGTGAGTCTAGTTTCAGAGACTAGTGCTATGTCAATCTTCTCCATTTCAAGGAAAGTTTCTAATTCTTGACGTCTGTCTGTCAAGCCGTTGGCGTTCCAAGTAACTACTCGGAGGTTCAGGATCATTTTTTAATAAGGCTGCTGACTAACTGGACCATTCGGTCCATCATTTTGTCCATCATTTTTTCCACTATTGTAATCACTGTATGTTGTAGTTTTTCCAGCATAGTCTCCACAGTATTAGTGAAGTTATTGAAATCGTTGTTTGTCGTGTTATTTAAATCGTTATTCCTTTGTGCAGGTATAGTTTGTGGTCTTGTTTTAGCCATTTCAGCATAGGTCTTTTTTGGGTTTGTTTGTTGAAATAGATGTTGAGTTTTGGCATTATCTATTCTGTTACTGTCGAGGTTCATTGTTGGTTGTTTTTGTGTAGGTTTAGGAGCAACTTTTAGTATTCTTTCTTTATATTGCTTGTAGGTTTTGCATCCTTTATAGCTGGCAGGGTGTTTTTCATTACAATTTGCACAGGTAGCCTCAGTGTCAGGTTTTTTTATACATTGTGTTGTGGGATGTTCATTACCACATTTCACGCATCGGAAAGGTCTGAAACATTGATTTTTTGTGTGGCCGAACCTTTGACATCTTTTACATTGTATAATTTCTTTTTTCTTATAGGGTGCTTCAATTGAAATTTTCATTTGGTTTAGATATTTGACGTCAAATATTTCTTTGTTGTTTTGTTGTGGCTCCAAGTCTACATAGAATATAGGGAGTGGTTCCTTTGTGGATCTATGTCTAATGTTGACTATTTGCCTTACTTTATGACCAATGTGTTCGAGTTCTCTAGTTATTTCTGTCGTATCTTCTGAAGCGTGAAGTCCTCGTAGAACCACTCGGTACGATTTTTCACTTTTTAATTGGTAGGTGTAGTGTGAAATATTGTTGGCGATGAAGTGTTCTCTAATAATTTTGTACGTTTGGATGTCTTTTGGCATTATTTTTATTATATGTCCAGATCTGAGTGTGGTCATGGTATAAAGATCATTGTCTAGAATTTTATTTAGTACTTCCTTAAGGGATGCGATGTTAATGACGCCTGTAACAAATAAAGGCTCGGGTTTAGGAACATAAACTTTTTCTTGTTTGTTGGTTTCCTGAGTACAAATTGTTTCATTATCAAGTATCTCAAAGCTGTTCTGAGTTGGTATAGCAAATTCAGAAATATTCCTTTGTTTTTTGTTTGTGTTGTTTATTGGACTGGTTTCTTTCCTTTTCTTTGGTTTAGCGGGGATTTCATCTCTCTGCCACTCACTCTTGTTGGAATCTTCCTGGTCACTGGAGACTGTTTGGGTTTCTATTGTCTGTTCAATGGGTCCTGATGGTTTAGCTACAGGTTTTTTAATTTCTGTAGGTATTGCACCGAGAGAGTTACTTCTTGTTCTTTCAAACATACTGGGATGAAATGTTTGTTGTATTAAATTATGTGTTTTGTTTGTGTTAGGGGCTTTTGCATTTTGAGAAATCATATGGCTCCCACGAGTATGGGGGAAAACAGGTTTGCTGCCAGTAGTATTCACTGTAATGGAAGCCTGGTCGCCTACTTCCATTAAGTCTTCGGTAGCTAATTTCACACTCTCCAGCCCGGGTACCAGAGAGCGCCGGGGGTTAGCCGGATCGCATGACGTACTAACTCGCTCATTATTTGACATTTTCATAAAAAGGGGTTTGGGAGATAACACAATACTACTTTCCCAAGGTAGCATTGCAGCTATTTTAGGGGGCATTTAACTTCCCTAGGTCTGCTGTGGCCCTAACAGGTTAATTGACCGCCGCCTGTGACTCGGCGTTGTTACTCGTTTGGCACCACCCGGGGAACACGTGTAGGGTGGCCTAGAACAGGTGGTGACTCCTACGGACGCGAGTAACTCCATTCCCCTAAGATGATGTTAACGATATTGATATTGTGATAGAAAAGGTAAGGGCCATAGAAGATTCTATTGTCGAATTAAATCTCAGTACGTACGCCGCGAACCCGATTTCTACGACGAAATCGGCAAGTCAAAACTTGTCGCGATCATCGCACGCCGCGCAGCGCGACCGAGGTCATGAACTTGAGTCGAGCGAGCGCGATCGCAGCGTTACCATGGTTACCACGAGTTCGTGCGGTACCGTCGCACCGCAACTCACTTTAAACTCGAACGAGAATTTGAAACGTGATAAGCGCGTTCGATGTTCGTTTTGTAAATTTTACGGTCACGTTTTGGCAGATTGTCGTAATTTTCAGAGTAAAAATAATAAACAACAACCGACTAGCACGGTTTCTGAGGGTAAAAGTACCACTATTGGGGCTAGTAATTTGCGTTGTTACGGATGCGGCCAACCCGGTGTTGTTAAGTCGAAATGTGAGAATTGTAGCGGAAAACAGCCACCCGCGACGCGATCCGATTTTAATATAGTGAACGGTGAGAACGTCTCACGCGAAACTCACGCGACGACGCCGTCACACGCTATGGTATCAGTCACTATCGCGAATAGGGTAGGTGTCGCCATACTCGACACAGGGGCTACGTGCTGCGTTGCTGGTTCCTTGTTGTACTCTATTTTGAGGTCGGTTGGTGTACAGTTTCACGAGGCGGAGCGAACCATAGGACTCGCGGTCGGTTCCCGCCAGGTGAAAACGGTTCTCACGGCGACAGTACCCGTGATTTTAGAGGGACGGCAGGTTGATACCGAGTTCGTAGTGTTCCCAGGTGAAAATACTCGAACGTTGTTGGGTCGTGATTTTATTGCTAAGGCTGGGGTCACACTGGACTTGGCACAGGAGTCATGGTTCTTTGCTGATAGTCCTGAACAGATTTTTCCTCTCGTGCAATCTTTTAGTTTGAATAGCACAGAGCTGATGCAGGCCGATATCTCCGACGTCTCCTTACGCGATGATGAGGGCACGAAGTTACCGCCAGAGCACAGGAACGCGCTCAACGCATTTCTGCGTAGCAGAGCGAACCAGTTTGATGCGGATGGGCCTCCCACGGACTTCGCCTGCCATAAAATCAAGGTAAGAGATAATCAGGAACCCCTTGCCTCGCTACCCTACAGGTTGTCGCCGTCCAAGAAAGAAGCTTTGGAGAAGGAGCTGCAAAAACTGCTCAGCGCCGACGTCATCGAGGAATGCGAGTCACCGTGGGCCTCCAACGTCGTCCTAGTGAAGAAAAAGGATGGGAGCTACAGGCTTTGCGTTGACTATCGCAAGCTAAACGCGGTCACGGAGCCTGACCGATACCCACTTCCCAGGATCGAAGACGTGCTCCACGCGGCGAAGACCTCCAAGTACATGACTACCTTAGATTTAAGATCCGGATATTTCCAGGTAAGCGTTGACCCCGACCATAGGGACCTTACCTCGTTCACGACACCGCTGGGCACCTTCAGATTCAAGCGCATGCCCATGGGTCTCCGAAATTCTGGAGCAACTTTTCAGAGATTGATCGACCGGTTCAAGTCAAACTTACCAGGTATAACCCTGCTCGCGTATCTGGACGATCTACTGATTCTGTCTGAAGGGTCCTTTGATAGACACCTCGCAGACCTGGAAGCCGTGTTTGACCGCCTTGCTATGTTCAACCTGCGGGTGAATCGCGAAAAGAGCCACTTCGCCCGAGATGCCGTGAAGTTTCTTGGCCATGTCATCGTACCAGGTGGCATTCGCATGGACCCAGACAAGACGTCTGCTATAACCAGCATGCCGCCCCCTCAGAACGTAAAGCACCTGAAGTGTTTCCTGCAAACCTCGAGTTGGTTCAGGCGCTTCATACCGAGTTATGCCGAGGTAAGTAGACCACTGACTTCTCTGCTGAAGAAAGGGAGCACCTGGGAGTGGGGCCCCGAGCAGCAGAGCGCTTTCGAGACTATCAAGTCCCTACTGGTTTCGGCTCCCATTCTCCGTCAGGCTGACGGCACGAAACCATTTGTCCTTAGGACCGACAGCAGCGGCTACGCGCTTGGGGCGGCTCTGCTCCAGGGGGAGGGGACCGATGAGCGACCCGTCGAGTACGCCAGTCGCCTCCTCACGGCCGCTGAGAAGAATTATAATACGACAGAGAGAGAGGCACTCGCCGTGGTATGGGCGGTGTCGAAGTTTAGAGGGTATATTGACGGCGCCGACGTGACAGTTAAGTCCGATCATCAGCCGCTCAGGTGGCTCATGAGTTTGAAATCGCCAAGCGGCCGCCTGGCCAGGTGGGCGCTCAGTCTCCAGGAATANAAGGCAAACGTGATTGCAGATACACTGTCACGTCCTTCATGCGCGATGGAAGGAAGCGAAGGGACCGAGTGCGATTTGTGCCTCGCCATGGTTGACCTACCCACACGCAGCCCTAGGGACGTCAGAGACGGCCAGTTGAAGGACCCGGAGATTTGTAAGATCGTCGAGGCGCTGGAATCCGACGATCCCTTTAGGGGGAGGTCCTGGGCAGATAAAGGGTACGTATTGGTTGACGGCGTACTGTACCGTTATGGTCCCGACAATGAAGATGATGATGACGCCAGTTTGGTGGTACCGGAACAGGAGCGCAAGGACGTGCTAGCCGAGTGTCATGACGCTCCCACAGCCGGCCATTTCAGTGTAGAGCGAACTTTGCAGCGTCTCACAGGTAAATATTACTGGCCCGGAATGAGGACTTACGTCGCTCAGTATATCAAGAATTGTGCCGCGTGTCAACGATACAAGGTAGACACGCGAAAACCCGCCGGCCTACTACAAGTTCCAGCGATGTCACGCCGCTTCGAGGTGCTCGCGGTGGACCTGGTCGGGCCCCTACCGGAGACACCTTCCGGCAATAAATGGATCCTCATAGTGGAGGACACCTGTACTAGATGGGTTGAGTTATTCGCCCTTTCATCCGCTACTAGCGAAGAGTGCGCCAAAACACTGGTGAACGAGGTGTATCTGCGTTATGGGACGCCCAGAAGGCTCATCAGTGAAGTTTGTGAGCGAAGTGATGCAGCAGACGTGCTACGTCATGGGCATCAAGCAGGCCCTGACGTCATTCTACCATCCGGAGTCCAACCCCGTGGAGCGGAAGAACCGCGACCTTAAACCACAGCTTGCGATTCTGGTTGGCAAGGAACACGATTCCTGGGATAGTCACCTTCCCGCTATTCGATTCGCTATGAACTACGCGTTCACTGCAAGTACGGGGCAGTCCCCCGCTTATCTTAACTTCGGGCGCGAGATGCGCGCGCCCGCCGATGTATTGTCTGACATGCGGGCCATCGTCGAGAACGACAATGTGGTCTTGTCGATTACTCCGTTCCTCAGGATGCTTTCAGCNCTATCGTCAAGAACGACAACGTGGTCTTGTCAATTACTCCGTTCCTCAAGAAGCTTTCAGCCGTGCTGCTCGATGCACGGGATGTGCACGAGAAAGCCCAGGAAGTCCAGAAGAAGTACGCCGATGAGGGTCGTCGCCCCGCGCCGGACTACAAGGTAGGGGACCTCGTACTGCTTAAGACCCAGGGTCTTAACGATACGAGCAAAGGGCAGACCCCGAAGTTCATCCCTCGTCGCGACGGACCGTACCGTATTCAGGAGGAGATCGGTAGTACGACATACGCTTTGGAGCGCATAAGTGACGGCGTCTCGCTAGGGAGGTATCACGTTTCGTTGTTGACGCCGTTCGTTGGCCCCATCCAAGCTCCCATTCAGGAGAAACGTAAGAGAGGAAGACCTCGCAAGGCTAACCCGGCTTCGGGGACGCAACGCCTGGGTTAGAGGGGGAGGATGTAAGGCGAAACGAAGTCGAATAATCGCGCCACGACCGCGCGAGCTCTAGGACACTCGTGGTATTCCGCGGCACTTCGTACTCGCTCGGCTCTCCACGCCGCCCGCGCCCCGCGGTCGGCCAGTCGCAGGCTATCACGCGCCGACTACGCGTCGTTTTCGCGAATAATTAATATCTTCCGTGTCCCACACCTCTTCTTCTGTGCTGATGATTGTTATTAAGTTAGAACTTTAGAATAATAAACGAATACAACCATCACACTAGGTATTTTCGAGAAAGAACTAAAAGACTACATATGATAGACCTAATTTTTTCAGGCTAAGGAGGCTTATTTTGTATATTATTTATATTGTTACTTTATTTTTTAATTGGTATTAAAAATATATGGGTTGATCTACCAGCCCCAGAGACCCAGACTAAGCAAATCTTATACAATTTATGCATAAATATGTACTAAAATCTTTATTTTGTTTTATAAATACATAGCAATCCATTTGTATTAAATCTAATTATACACAAAGTAATATTCCCGTGATATAACGTAGTAACTGTGTTCTCAACTCTCAACCAATGCGTCAGATCACCTTTAACTTCATGTAAATGGTTTTAAAAAATATATTTTGGTACATCTGTGTGGCAGCCCTGGCCCGCATCCGGCTGTTACTGGGTAAGTGGATTATGTCACGTGTAACAAGCCTCTAACTATGGGAACTGCGATGCGCATATTGTGTGTAGGGCTGCCATTCGTCAGTTTGCCGGATTTGACTCAGTTTTCTTATTTTATCTTATGTAGTTAGTGCCTGAGGTATGGAAGCGGCACGGGAGGGGTTTTATCGACATTTATGACGTGACTGACGAATCTGAAGCATATCTGAAGTCTCGCTGACGTTTGGCCGTCACAAAAACACTCTCCCGTGCCCCTCCACACCTAAGGTACTCAGTTAATCCCTAGCTTGACTATTTCCGTGCTTTTAAGCGATTTTGGAAAAATATTATTGGCAGGTAGCTAATAGCGCATATAGCTTAAAAAAATACTTTTTTTTTCACCAAATACAAATTACAATTTGTTAATTACAAATTTTATTTATTTTTATTTATTATTTATTTATTTTCACCAACTTAAACTATCTTTACAGGTCAATAACCTAATGCGATAGCATAAATTATTTTGTAGGCAGGTACACTGTATCTACTTACACTAACTACTTATAACTAACAATAAAAAGTGCGGCTCTTACGAATTCACTCAGAGAACAATTACGGGTCTACTACTTAAATTAATTATAACATTTGTTGACGCTGTTTGGGTGAACTGGAGCCTAAACTAGGATAATCCTGTATTTCAGCCTTTGATTATACAGGGTGGAATTTTGTAATGCCACCTGGAGGGAAAGTACTCCTAATACTGTAGATAGAAAATTTTAGTGAAAGAAAACGTGCTGATTTTCATATTTTTAGATTATTTCAGTTGGCTAAATGAAAAACATCAAGTTATGAAGTGGAAAATAAAAATTTCAGCTTATAAGGTAGGCCCCCTTAATTAATGTTTAAATATTGTCCGTGGTGCATATCTTTTTCATAAAGGTTACTAAACCTTTGTTTGTCACCTGTCATCCGCTTTGCAATTAGAGGGAAGTCGAACCTTAACTTCGAACTCCTCCTATGTTCTTCTGATTAATTTCGTTGCGGGTCCAATGACAGTTTAATTTTCCCCCGGGACAAACTTGACTTACATTGGTTGGGTTTTTGTGGCGGTCAAGCTGTAGATCCTGGCTACACAGGAGTTAAAGGCCTTAATCAAACTGCCTTAACTAGGAGGAAAGGTTTTTTGTGATCGTAAAAATGGCGGTCACTTACAAGGAACGATACAATGATGGTTCACTGATAAGGCCCGTTAACTAGTTCTTACTAAGGTGGTTCAATTAGTCTTAGTATAACAGACTATACACTTTTCTTTCTGCTATAGATGTTATAGCAACATAATTACGCGCGAGCGATAGGGATGGGTAGCTTGGGGTCATTACACGGGATTCTACGTGCTCACGGACCAGGCTTTAACTACAGTTGATTGTTCCGTAAACAACAAGAGAGACATGAAATAATGATAATAATAACTTTTCTGTACTTGGTATCTTAATGATCTTGTATACTTTAAGACTTCTTCAGTAATATTATTAAATTAATTATGTCATAATTACTTATTGTCAGTAATTACTCGTATGTTAGTACGTTATGTGTATTGTATGCTTTGAAAATAAGAAAGTCTCTCAATCAGCATTGCAGTTTTTGTTACTTACCTAATTAAAATTCTCTAAAGATTCTTTATTTTACTTAAGTAGGTAGGTTAGTAAGTATCAGTAATTCGTATAACCGATGCGGCAAAGACAATTGTTTAGATATTTTGGAAATCTCCAAGAAAATGTTGGGATTTCTTATTACGAATATTTTAGTTATAATTTGGACTTTTTGAGGAGCACATTAAAACAATACTTTAGACAGCAGCCATCTTCTACATTAATTAGTTACTTTTCATAGACAGAGCAAAACCAAAGATCATACCTCGGCCATAGACAAAAATCACGCTTAGAAACAGGTTAAAAATTCCCACGAGTTTATTAACACTTCCATTACTGAGTCAGCTCAACCAAGTACCAAATCAAAACCAACTATTCCATATCAAGTGTTCCAACGGTACATTTGTGTAACCTAATTCTCTATCTCGCTTCGTCAACACACAATAACCTACCCTACTCTACCACAATAGAGTCGAAATTCCTTTCAGGTGTTCAGATTCGGCGTGCTCTTACGTAAGATTTTAAGGTCACCGCTATTGCATAACGTTCATGCTATGTGATTGTAGCCAGTGTAAGTGGAACCCTAGGATTGCATTGAAATCCCCCGGTTGGCTTGTTCTTTGTTGGGCAGAGAGGAGGGGGGGAGGTCTATGTATGGTGGGGGCGTGTATGATTTTGTTGGCTAATACAGTTTTGAAATGGCGTACATTTGATGTATCGGGAGTTGAGTTTATAGGTTATTGCGTTTTAATACAATGTTTTGGTTATGATAGATGGAGAGGAATGCGACTTTAGACACTGTCTACTTTAGTTAACCTCTGACCTACGGGAGGCACCTATTGTTGCCAGGTCAAAAGTCACTTCTCAATACGGGTGGCATCTAATCTATTGTTGATTTGGCAAAGCCAATACAAGATCACGATTTACGACAAAAAAACAATAAAGTTGCAAATTAAGTGTTAAAATGCGCTTGTAATTATGAAACTACATTAGTTGCAGAATATAATATTCCTTTCAATACCGTAAGTCTCATACTTTTTAAAATATCTTGATGTAAATTGGAGCAAACAATTTGATAGGTTAAAATACCCCGTATTGAGAGGCACAGTACTTAGTTTTCCGTAGGGAAATGGTTAACATTCATTATTGGCACTTAAGCTTATATTCGATAAAATCTCATACATTTTTTACGCAAAATAGGAACGCCGAGAATACTTAACTCACTCTTGTGGCGGAGTTTTGCACTGACGCTGTGCAGGTTTGTTGTCGACACGACAAGAAGAGAAGACTCACGATTTTGAGTCGAAAAACATTGTGATTTTGTCTACAAGAAGTTCAGTTTAGTAATTTTCGTTCGTTTCAGCCAAATGACGTTCACTGCTGGACAAAGGCCTCCCCCAAACATTTCCCAAGGACTTTTATTTTAGTTTGATTTTTGTTTCTAGTGAGAATCAAACCCTTATCCTTTCACGTGGATATTTTGGTCTTTAGGTGATTATTAACCGTCAATTATTTGACTGATGAGTTTATCTCAATTACCTTTTCAATAGCTTATTTTATTACCTATTTATTGTATTTCATACTAATTAGGAAACTAATAGCTAGTCATAATAACAATAAGAAGTGCTAGTTAATTACTATACAATTATACAACGTTTTTGATGAAAACGGTGGAATAGAAATTCACATGGAAAACATTCAGTAGACATCATCATTTTTCCTTTTTTTAGGCGCTAAAATTACCTAATATACTATGTTTGTCTTTACACGGATATCGAACCATAGATGGTTGTCTTCTTGGGATGACGAATTCAGTCAGTTCATCATCATCATCTCAGCCATAGGACGTCCACTGCTGAACATAAGCCTCCCCCAATGCTTTCTATGTTGCCCGGTTGGTAGCAGCCTGCATCCAGCGCCTTCCTGCTACCTTTATCAGGTCGTCGGTCCACCTTGTGTGTGGACCGACGCTGCGTTTTCCGGTACGTGGCCTCCGCTCCAGAACCTTGCTGCCCCATCGACCCCATCGTGCCCCACAACACCCTTAAATAACCTGAATAACTGACCTAGTAATTTTCGCAGTCATATTAGTACAGATTTACAAACGGACTCAATTACTTGTAGCCATGTATTTCAGGCTTTGAGTGATGTTGAAAATAATAATGGCGGCTGCGTTATGCAAACTCTTACGTCACGACCTAGATGCAGCCAAGGTTTTCAGTCCAGGCGACTTTTGGCTCAATTGGCTCGAGATAACGGCTTTATTGGCTTGATTGCGTCTTCTTTTTTTGTTCTATTTAGGATAAAGCAAAGGCATACGCCATACAGCCTACATCTTGTGTCGTTTGAGTTATAATGACGTCACAAATCTCTCTAGCTGTATTTTGTGTCTTCTTTTTTTTGTTCTATTTAGGATAAGGCAAAGGCATACGCCATACAGCCTACATCTTGTGTCATTTGAGTTATAATGACGTCACATCTCTGCAACGGTAATTTGCGTATTCTTTTTTTTATTCAATTTAGGATTTGGCAAAGGCATATTCCATACAGCCTATATCTTCTTGTGTCATTTAAGTTATAATGACGTCACATCTTTCACAAAATTACGGTTTATTGGATTTTCATTTTTTTTTTTTCATTTTTGCAGAAAGACATTACCATATAGCCTACGTCTTCTTGTATTATTTGAGTTATGACATCACATCTTTCGCGAGAAAATGGCTTTATTAGTTCGATCCATTTTTGGACTCTATTCCTTCTTTTTGCGGAATAAGGCAAAGGCATAATGCCGCACAGCCCACGTCTGCTTCTACCATAAAAAATAATATAATTGACGTCACAACTCAACGCCAAATGCGTGTAGTCCAAAGCATGGAGACTTTAAATTAAATTTTCATAATGAGGGAACACCTAAGTAGTAAGTACGAACTAATAAT